GTGATTCCCAAATTGGGAAAACTAGCTTTCTGGCAAGTGCATTTGTTTTTGTTTTTTTTTTTTCTTTGAAATGTTGTTTTATGCTTTCGTGGAAACCGAACATAGCATATTAAAATGTTGTTCTTGTTCTAATTTTTTTTTTCTTGTTTTGTTATTCATTGTAGACAAAGTATGTTGGAGGAGAGAGACAAGAAGAAGGATTTGAGATATCAGATTCAGGACTAAATCAGATGGATAAAACACTCTGTGTTGGAGGGGCACATATCGCTTATAGAATCTGGGAGGTTGCAGGTATGCATGGTTCCTTTGCATAATAATTTACTGAATAATAAGTCTACAGATACAGAACTAATCGTAAAAAAAAGAAGGGAACGATCTGAATAAAATCATATCTCTATTGACGAGCCTTTACATCTGATGTTGATTGATTCTATCTCATCGCTAAACTTTTTATGATTGAAATGGCAATGTATGTATATATATGTACTGATCAACTATAATTTTGAATGGTGTACAAGGAGATGAAACATCCCAGAATCACATTCCAAGTGCTTGTAAAGACTCGGTAACAATGTTATTCATGTTTGATCTAACAAGTCGGTGTACTTTAAACAGGTAACGTTTCAAAATGCCTAAGGTTTTCATACATTATGAATCATGATTATAAAATTGTAGTTGTTATTTAGGTTTGAATAATAAAGTAAACTCATGAGATTACTATTTAACTCTCTCTGGGTTTGCAGTATCGTCGGATGGGATCAAGAATCAAGGAAATGGAATCAAGTACCCATGCTTCGCTTCACCACCTCATGGGATCTTTTTAGGGAAAATTTCAATTTAGTATACATTATAATAAAATAATTATCGATAAGTGATAAGTTTTACAAATGTTAATAATTAAAGTTATAATTTGTTATTTTGCAAATCTATAATAACTGTCTAAAAGTACTACTGAGTGGTAATTTCCCTATCTTTTTACCCAAATCTCTCTGTCTTTTAGTATTAATATATTCCCAAAAAGTAATGATCTACAAACCCATGTTTATGAAGAATGATGTTGCTTCTTATGATCTTTTAATTTTTTTATCAAAACACTCGTCATTGCCCTCATATTTTAAAAAAATGTCATTGACAATCATTTTTGATATAATTTTTTGTATAAAATTTATGTTCAAAAATCATTTTTCATCCATAACTTCTTTGTTCTTTTGTCTCAATTATATTCCTTGATGGGTGATGTAGTGGGAATTTCAAGACAATCGTTGGGTTGAATTGAATGTGCATTAATTGAGATAGTATTACAGGATGTAGTAAGAATCTGAAGCCATAAATTTTGAGACATAATTGTATAATTAAAACAAATGCATCAGATCAGGAGGACACATAAATTTAAATATTGAGGACCCTTGACCTTATAGCGATCCCGGGTTTACCCTTGTTATATAGTGATCCGGACATGTGTCCGTGGATGTTGGTAGTTGTTTATTATTTTGTTTGCATCCTTTTTACTTCATAATTGAGTTATAGGATGTGTTGGGTAGGTTTGTTTCAGGTTGGTTGAGTTTAGAAACCAAAACTAGTTGCCCAGATTTTTGGCCTGTACGCTCGAGCGGAGATGTTGGCGCTCGAGCGGGGAATACACCCATCCAGTATTTGTTGTGCAGTGTTGTACGCTCGAGCGTAGGGTTGGGAGCTCGAGCGGAGGTCTGGTTCTGCAAAAGTGCTGAGCGAGTGCATTCTGCGCTCGAGCGGGAGGTTAGCCGCTCGAGCGGAAGTCTGTGAGTGGCCGCTCGAGCGGGGTGTTCTACGCTCGAGCGGGAGACTGGGTTTAAGTCCCGAAATTGTGACTTTCCAAATCACTTTTTACTTTCTCTTCTCTCTCTTACTTTTCCAAAATCACCATTGTTGAGCCTCTCACTCTAGACTCTACCTTCTCTCTAGGTTTTGATCTAGTAGGAGTGATTTACTCACCTTTGGCCTTTACAAAAAAGTTGTTGATCGTCGAGGGCTTCATTTTAATCTGAAAATCTCGGGTTTTGGAGCACGTTGGGTTTTGTCGTTTTCTCCTTTGGGACTCCGAATTTGAGGTAGGGATATCCTACTCCTCTCTATGGGTTTTGTCTTTAAATTTTGGTATTTTGAGATGTTGGGCTTGGTTTGGTAATTTTGTGAAAGTTTGGGGCTTTTGTGTAATTTTACAAAAGTTGGGGTTTTATTCATAATAAACCTAGATGCATGTTTGGCATAGAAAAATGGAATGATTGTTGAATCATTGATGAAAATGGGACCTAAGGGTTGAAATGTTAATTATGGGAATTGACCTAATTACATTGTTTAATTAATTGGAATAATTAATTGAGAGATTAATTGAGAGGAATGAAGGAATGAAATGTTGATTGAATATCCATTGCGCATTTATTTTCTATTTAGAACTAACTGCTTTGGGCTATCGGTGGAGGATAGTCGTGATTGTTGTAGACAATGCTTGATGATTAAGTAAACTGAAACTAATCAATGAAATGTGTCATGGAACTTGACGGTTGATTGAATACATTAATTATATGTATTGAGTGATTGTATATAGAACCTTTATGTTTGTATACGTTATGTGTAGAGGAGGAGATAGGGGATGTACTCCGCGGTTTAGGGGAAGATAGGGGATGGACCTCTAAACCGGATAGGTATTTGGAGGAGATAGGGGATGTACTCCGTAGACAGAGCTCATATGCTTGTCTAGAGAAGTGAAGATAGAGCTCATATGCTTATCTTTGTGAAGTGTGGATATAGCTTGTATGCTTATCTGTGGATATTGTTGATATACATATCTGTTGTAGAATGTGGATACAGCTTGTATGCTTATCTGTGGATATTGTTGATATACATATCTGTTGAGAATGTGGATATAGCTTTTATGCCTATCTGAATGAGAGATATAGTTTTTATACATATCTGTGGAAATGATGATAGAGCTAGCATGCTTATCTGTTGAAAAAGGGAAAATGAAAAGTAAATGGGACTTGTAAGTCGCTGACATAAATATATAATTTATGTGATTGTATCAGTGTTGACCAACTATCAATTGCTAACGTTTTAGTCATTGTCCATGGTTGGTTTAGTGTATTTCTACTGGGCTGTGGCTCACCCTATATGGGAACATCATTTTCAGGTACAGGAAGCATGCCACCTCCAAGGACATAGCTGGGAGGCTAGAGGCGGACATGTTTTGTTGTTTTACTTTTGATGTATTACATGTAACTTCAAGCCAAGGGCTTAATGTGTATCGAGTTAGTACTCTTTGTTGTAACCAAGTGTTAACTTGGAAAGCTGTAAGCCCGTAGGGCATTTTGTTATGATGTTAACATGTAATACTTGTGTAATGAAACGCTAATGAATAATAGAAGGTGGATTTGTTTATATGTCAACGCATGTCTTATTTGATGGGTTTAATGTTATTATTTTGAGGGCGTTACAACTTGGTATCAGAGCGTACTGGGTTCGGATACTTTGGGTACGTGGGAAGTGATTAGGATCACAATGGGTTTGTCTCGCTTGATAGAGACGTAGATGTAGTACCATATGCTATGTGGAAATTCCTAATTAATCTTACAGGTACATTAGGGCATGCATGATTTTCTAGGCAATATCCATTTAATGATTTCTAGCTGGAAAACACACAAATCAAATTTGATTATTCTTCTTTTGAGTATAGTCATAGAAAGGGATTGAAGGGGCACAGACATCTTAGTCAATTCTTCAGTAAGAAATATCTCTTTCACTCTTGGAATAAACTAGTGGCAAACATGGGCTGTTCGATATTGTTCTAAAAAAAGTATTAGATTCATATTTACAGAAACAAAAATAATGAAAAGTTTCAAAAACAATTTTCATTTTCTTTTTTGTGTAGAAACAACTTTCAAAAATTCATGAAACAGTTTATAAGTGTTTCATAAAACAAATATGTTTCCAATAAATAATTTTCAAAAAAAAAACACAAGTTTTCAAAATCAACTCCCAAAAAAATGAGAGTGATACCAAATGTTTCCAATAATCTATTTTGAGAAGAACATCAGTTCGTTGTTCCCACCTAAACCCTAAATCCAATACCAGAATCTATTTAACATGTGTATTGTTGTTAACAGGCAAGAGCATATGCAAGGGCCCTGAATGCAACAGTTTTCTTTTCAAGTGCAACCTACAACATAAATGTGAACAAGATCTTCAAGTTCATCACGGCAAAGCTGTTCAACCTACCATGGGCTCCCGAGCGAAACCTCACAATTGGAGAACCCATCATCGATTTCTAGATGTTGCTTGGGATTAAACGTATTTGGTTTGTAAGTAGACTAGGAAATTTTGGATCCTAAGTAAGAAGATTGAAAGCAACCGGTTCACTAGGTTTGCATTAATTGTCTGTTCCCAGTGAATATTCAGAGTTGTTTCATTTGAATATAATGAAGTGGATGATAAGAGGCTCAGGAGCCCACATCTCCATGTAAGAATAACTCTCTTTCATTCAACCTATTACTGAGCCCAAATAAGCTTATATATTATAAAAATCAAGCTACTTGAGTTCTACTCGTTATTAGCTCAATCAAAACTTGTTTGAAATTGGCTTGAAAAGTAAACATGCCAAGCTTGAACATATTTTGGAAGCTCGTTAAGTTTTTAAATCAAGCTTGAATAACCTACTACTTAGCTCAACTCAGTTCATTTACAACCCTATATGTGTTTCAGTTGAGGATGTGATGCATCTGCTGAAAATAAGTGGGATTGTAAAAGACACACTGACTTGTTGGGGGAGAAAATGTAAGGAAGCTAGAGGGAATTTGAATGGTCACAAGTGTTGCTTATCAAAGGAAGAATTAAAAGTGTCATCAATCAACTAGTTTACGCAGAACAAGCTTTTCCACCACAACGTGAAAAATCATATTATTTTGAACTTGAAAGCCGAAATATATGCCATATTAGCGTATCAAGCAACGATAACAAAACTTGAAATTACAAGGACATAAGGGTCCAACCTAAAAACAGATATGTGGCATTTGGAGACGAGCATCACTTAAGCTTCACTTCTCTTGTTGGTGGGTCCAATTGCAAATAGTAGAATGGTTCCGTTGGTTTTTCACTACACATGAAACATTCAATCAATTGATCAGTAGCAACAATTACTTCAGAATGTAATGGAACAATTGAAATTAGAATTAAGCAATTAGTTATCTCAAAGAGTATAAAAGACTTCAAATTATTATGCGATGGAAATTTTGGTCAATGAAGCAACTTCTAACAAATTATAATCTACATGTCTGGTATTCTATGTGATTAACTGCCAATTAAAAGCTTTCAGTGACCAATTAGAAAATTCTGAATATTTAAAGAAGACATAATCTTAGATGCTTCATGAGTATGTCAAAAGAATGTACTATAGTATAAATGAATGAAAAATAAAAAATCATCTTTTTTGGGATAAGTCGTCCAAATGAAAGAAAACATACCCAAGTTTTGAGTGCATGCATTGCCAGAAGAACTTGAAAGGACCAGGAATTGTCTTAAATGGGTTACCTTCAAAGCACGCCTACACAACACGACTGAAATGAACTCAAAATGTACTAAAATTGAGCATAAACTCAATAGTGAATCTTCAAATACAAGGCCATCATAATACATGCCGACAAAGGTCAAATAGTCGTACTCTGTTTCCACTTAAACATCGCGTTTCATTTGGGATGCCTACCATCTCCTTGCACATCTAAGCATTATTGGTTATTTTCATCTCCTTGCGAAACGGTCATATTGAATTTTCTATAAATGAACTTACTTCTACTTTATTCCGTGGTTGCAAGGGAAGCAAAAATGGAAAACAACAACGAAGGCCGAAATGTGAATCAAAATTATAAAATA